AACTTAGATTGATAGCTTAGAGTTTACACATGAGAATGAGTTTAGTTACATCAAACCCCAACAAGGGTGAGTTTAGCTACACATAGACATGTAGAACTCTACAAATGATGAAGAAAGGAAGAAGCTTGATCTTGAAGGTTCCAGAGCTCTCCAGCTGCCACACAAACTCCAAGAATGATCCTCCTTGCTTCCCTCCTTGAAAATCCCACTTTTAGGTCATAAAAACTTTTGTCTTGTGTGAATAATGACATGTCAGCATAATCCACGCTAAGCGTGAGATGCCACGCTAAGCTTGAGGGAAGGTCTGGAGTGAAATGAGGTTATGGGACTCTCATGCTCAGCCCCAATTTCACGCTCAGCGTGGGGAATAAAATTGAGTATCTCTGAATAAAATGATTCTCAATATTTCAAATAGCAAGCCTCTACACACTTATATATAATAAGAGTCAGCCAAAACAGAAAACTAACTAACAACAGCCAAAACAGAAAACTAACTAACAACTGCTCTTATTCTCTAATAATTATGATTAAAATTGTTATTATAAAAGTGAGCAAAATATATATATATATATATATATATATATATTATTTTTTACTTTCTCCCTCTCTCTTTTTCTTCTTCTTCTCCTTTATGATAAAACTTAGATATACATTTTTCTTTATAATATGTTTGTTGCTGATTTTCACTCAAAAAATAACAGTTTCATTCTTGCAATCTCCATAATAAATTTAAACATGGATTACTGAAATGAAAATCTAATTGAATAATAGTGATAAAAGCACTTTGGTAAAAAAAAAAAAAAAGTAATAAAAATTACCAGGAATCTATTTATAAATTTTGTGATTTTTTCTTATATCTTTTTGGAAATATTTATTTCACACTCCCTTTGGTTATGGTATATAAGTATAAAATAATATTATTTTTATTATTTTTAAATTTAAACAATTTTTAACTAATTTTACTTTATTTGGCAACTTTTTATATCATTTTTAATAAAAATAATTTATGAAAAGACATTTATTTTTTAAATGATATTGACTTTCTTAATTAGTGTGAGTTATTACTCTCATATAGAGTAATATAAATTATTTATAAATGGTCTAATATCATCATAGTCCTACTCATATCATTATCTATGTAACATTTTTTTTCCAATAGAAAGGATTACAATAACAAAAATGAGAATACTTAAGTCTCTATCCAATTTTCAACTACCATTGCACTACTACAAAAATATCATTTTCCTGCAAAAAAAATATTCGCAGAAACTTTTTGTGAATTTATTTGCGAAAAATAATTTATAGATATTTCTTATAATTTTTTTTATAAAAAATAATCTACAATAAATTTTTTCAAATTTTGCTACAATATTAATAATCATAGAATTTTTTTCCATGGTAAAAAATTTACAGAAAATATTGTAAGAATTTTATTTTGTTTCTTGCAGATTTTCTTGCAAAAATAAATTTGCAAGTAATGTTTAGTAAATGGTAGAAAAATTTTGCAGATAACTTTTCCTGTGGATTTTCCTGCCAATTTTAATCTGCAGAAAAAATCAAAAAAATATTTAAATTTATAAGTTTAATATTTTAAAAAAACTTCAAGTCTCACATCGATTGAAAATAAAATAATTAAAGAATATATAAGTTGGGACAACACTTACCTTACAAGTTGATTTGTATCGTTGAGTGTTAGACTTATAATCTACAATCTTAAAATTTAAAAGATTATGTATCACATGTTGGAAGCGTGGAAACAAATGTTTCGGATGAATTCATTGTGAGCATTTGAAAGTTGAATAATTATTGATATAATTTATAGTAATTTCTTTATATTTTTTCGTAAAAAATATTTTTGCAGAACTTTTTGTGAAAAAATTCGCAAGAAACTTTCCTGCAAATTTTTTTCACAAGAAATTTCACAGAAAAATTTCTTGCGAATTTTAAAATTCACAAAAACATATTATCCACAAATATATTACCTGCAGATAAAATTTCGCAGAAAAATTTATAAAAACCTGCGAATTTTTATAAAAATTCACAAGAAAAGTCGCATGTAATAAGAGAAATTCGTGATTCTACATAGCACTTAATTAAGTGTTATTAATTTTTTTATTGTAAATTTAAAAAAAAAACTTGGGCACTTATATATCATGTAGGATTTAATTAGAATGGTGAACACGTACGTGACTATAGCAATAATTTTTTATAAAATGTGAAATAGCCAAATAGGTAAAAAGAAAAAAAAAACAAGTAAGGATAGGTCAAAGATATGATCGAAGCGTTACGTTATACGACATAAAAGGAAAATAAAAGTGCAAAAAATCACATAAAATAAAAATAGAAGGATAAATATGTTTTTAGTCTCACTTATTTTAATTTTAATTTTTTATATTTTTATTTTTAAAATTTATAAATATTACTTTTGACTTTTGTGAAATATTTTTCATCCTAATAAAATAAATAAATTTTAATTTTAATTCATTTTAAATATTTTTCTTTGATTTTTATCTTTCTAAAATTTAAAATTACTAGTTTTCACCTTTAAGGATTATAAATAACATTTATTTTAATAATTTTTGAAATTTTTAAGAGGTGTCTTATATTAACATATAATATCATTAACAGTTATGACTAATACCTAAAATATTCATTTAATATTTTAATAAATAAAATGACTAAAAATAATTATATAATAATTAAAATTAAAAATTAAATTTAAATTTTAGAGAAATAAAAAATTAAAAAATTAAAAAATTAATTTATTTTATAAAGACTAGACATATATTAAAATCTAAAATAAAAATGAGAGAAAAATAAACATGAAAAAGAGAAGAAAAATCCAAGTTTTTTTTGTAATCGTACGGATATAAGTATATCCTCTAACCGTGAAAAAGATTATTTTCCTAAATAAACATTAGGTGTATGTAATTAGTGTACCGAATACCTACCCGGGTCCAGTACAATTAATAACTATTCAACAGTACCATGCATGAGCTTTTACATACCATACATCACTGTCTAAGAACACGGGAAACAAAACATAAATTTTCCACACAGAAACAGTTCACCTTCACCACTTAGTACCTTACGATGTTCTTCTCATCCTCAACTTGAGAGAATCAACTTTCTTTTGGACCACAAACTCTTTAACTCCTCCCTGCAGTGCGCCATGCCAACTTGACGACTTGGCCGAACCAAAGAGCCACGTGGCGTTCATCTGTTTGTTAACCATTCGTGCCGCGTAGTGTGGGATCTTGAATCCCTTCGCGTGCTGAGACCCAAATCGGTTGCTAATGAACATTAAACAATCCATCAAACTCTCCCTCGCAAGCCCCTTCATGTCATAAGCCTGTGATCTTCTCCACAGACTCTTACTGTGGAGACTCGCACTCGCCACATTCGATAGGCACAAAGCTCTTGTGGTGTCACTCAGTGCAGCTTCTGGATCTCTAAGAAGCAAGTGGCACTGTGCTCTATTGCTATGAAGCACGATTCTCTCTTTTTTGGTCTCTAATGGGCACAAATTCAAAGCCTCTGTGTACTTCGCCACAGCTTTTTCTATCTCCCCTGACCCAAATTCCATGTTCCCTTGTTGTTTCAAAATACCTGCCAACACTTCTTTTTCTCTTATTTCTTCTTCGCTCATTAAGCTTTCTTTTTTTACTCTCTCCACCTTCAACTCCCATAACTCTTCTAACGCTCTCTTGGTTCTTTCACTCTTCAGCTTCATCTCACCAAATTTGATTTTGTGGTAATCCTGCAAGAGTATCTGCATGATTTCTTGCCCCACTTTGGGTTTCCCTCCCATGCTTCTAACCTCAACCAAATCAACAAGAACTGGAACAGCTATATCTATTACTTTGTATCTTGTAACTGGATCTTTGAGAAGTTGCAAGAGACTATCAATTGCCATGCGTTGCCTTTCATCTGAGGATCTTGACACGTTACAAAGATTCACTACCACTTCTTCCAAATTTGCAACACTTTCTCTCCCTATTTTTGCGCCACAAAGAGTTCTGAGAAGTCCTATTCCAGCAGGTGAAGTTGGGTTTGACAAACCACCCCACATTCCACACAAGTCCTTCAAGAATTGCTTTTTGCAGATTAGCCCCAGAGATCTTTCTCTACATGCAAAGCAATCTAAGAGATAGAGAGACCAACACTGAAGCTGGCTAGCCCATTCTTCTGCTTTTCTGTTCTCCAATTCCAAGTCTCCATGCCCTCGTGTCAGCAAGTTCCTATGATACTCCAACCTCTCTGATTCCTTCAACCCCACGAACTTCTCATACACCTCTTTTATGCACGTGGAAGCTATGTTAATGGATGCTTCTATCACTTCAGCTTCATGTTCAGCAACAGCTTCAAAAGTTGCTTCATGGCTCGCCAAATGACCCAGTGCGCGAAGTGCAACTCTTTGCTCAACCCAACTAATCTTTCCCCGAAGCAGTTCCATGAGTGGTTGAACCACGTTGGACTTAACAGCTTTATCTGCGAACTTGGGTTTGTTCATGGTGTAAGAACCGATTATGTGTGCTGCATAATAAGGGACATACATGTTCTGACACCTAAGGAGCCAATCTTTGTGGTTAACACCTTTCTGAATTAACTTGGCCATGCATCTGAAGATCCCAAGAGAAGGAAATTCAGGGTCGTTGGGGTTTGTTATGGCGATTTTCCAGAGGCCACTTAACGCGAGGATGTGTTCCTGGTGGTCTCTGAGAGGCATTTGTTTGAAGTAGCGAGCGATTTTGGCTCTTCTAAGGGGAGGAACTGTTTCGGACATGATGCAGAAGAAACAAGAGCAGGTAGTGTATGACGGAATAGCGGGTGTCGAATTATTATGAGTGTTGGTTTTGGTGGGTGGATTTTGTGGGAGTTGGTAGTTCATGGTTAATCAAAAGAAAATTGGAAGGTTTAGGAATTGGGATAGGTTTTGGTATGAAAGAGACGGGCACATCCCAAAGATTAATTATATATTGAGGCGCACCTTGCTTGATGCGTGCTCGTGACACGATAATAAGCTGTGTTGCACATGTAACACAGTACCACTCAGTATCATATGCGCCACTCTCTCCCTAAGCGCCTTTGTGTTTTAATACATGGGAACCATGATTGCTTCAATGTTAATTCAAACAATGGATGCTAAGTTAAAGAAAATTCAACGTTTTCTTTATTAGTTGTTTTGCTTTTTTTATCGATCATGTGAGAATTAATACAACAAAATCTTTTTTCTTTTCTTTTTTTTTTTTTAATGAAAAGAGAAGGAAAGAGTTGCCATTTAAAAGTATAATGGTGGTTTTACTTCACATTTTCGCAATAACTTTTTATCTTTCTCTCTCAATCAAGTCATTTATTTTGTTTCACATTTTTTTTTCTATTCTCTTTATAAAATTAGCAAGAGGATATGAAGTGAAAATAATATTACTTGATTTAATAACACATTCGATAAAGATTATTTTATTTAAGATAGGGCAAGTGCTTTTGGAACAAGGCCAAGTGCAGCCTATTCACCAATAAAAGAAGTGTACAATCATATGCTATATATTTACGTACCTTCTTGGTCAGTGAAATTGCTCGATATACTATAATAGGAAAGGAAAAAATGTTTCTTACGTATTCATTACTTATTTGTAAAAAAAACAAGTTGATAAAAATGCTAAATTAAGTGAATGATATTGGGCTGGGCCAATAAATATAAAACAGAACGATTACCTAAACCTCATTTAGTTCTTTACCTGTTGACTTAAAATGGGATGGACCACGAATCTATTCCGGACATATGCATAGAAATGAGTTGCCAAGAATAAAATGGCTATAAACAGAGATTTGAAAAGGAAAAGAGAATAGGAGGAGGGGAGGAAGATCTCTTGGGAATTAAGCATAAGAGTTTAGTCTGGTCCCCTCCATAAGAAGCCAATCAATGTCCTTAATGTATTCAAACTACCCTGCTGAATGTATGATGGAGTCATTCCTTTTCCAACTCAAAAAGTGACCAACTCGGATATATAATACACATGCAAGTACAACCGGGGTGGTCTCAAGAAAATGCGGCTACCCAAGACATGATCTATAAATGCTAATGCTAATGCTAGGGCTTTACAATTTAATTTAAGTTTCGTAAACCTAGCTCAATAGAACTTTGCTCCCATGAATTAATTAGACAAAACTTTTTGCAACTTCTTTTAACCCTGGAGTTACGGAAGTTATAAAAGTACCACGACACAAGTTCATTGATTGGCATTTTGTCCACGAAAATGTAATGAATTCTTTCGCTTCATATTTTGATATATCTTCATACGATAGAATTATGTGAAAATTTTGTGCTTTTTCATAAATATTAACTTGAAATGTTGTTAAAATTTATAATAAAAAACTATGGAAAGAAACACCACATTGTTCGTAAATCTCGTAAAAAAAAGCAAAAAAAAAAATATTATTCTTCCCGTTAACATTGGGAACGATGATGAAGAAGGATATGTCCAAGTTGAGTTGAGTTTATTGCTAGGCGTGCACAACATAGATTTTGTGGGCACGTGATTTAAAACACTGCCAGCTCTGCGGGTTTCTAGAAAACCCTATTTTCAGATTTAACTTAATTCAAAAGTTTTATGGAGGATTAAAACTTGGTTGGCGTGCAAAAAGGAAGAAATTTTGTTGGATTTGCGATCATACTCTTGTAAGTTGTAAGGCAAAGGGTATTTTATACTTGTTAGAAATGACATCAATCTCCGTCGTTTAAAACAATTCATATAAGTGAATTAAAACAGACGCTGTTATTGGTCTTGGAAAAATGCTGATGCAGACTATAAATTATTAATTTATAATTTGTTTCTTGACTCAAATGATTCAACAACACGAAAAATAAAATTTAAGAAACATTTCAAACTCGTCAATACTATATTTCTTTGAGGCTTCATGAACGTCCGCTAATTATATATCCCAAATTATGAGGATTGACACTGAAGGAAAAATAAATTTCAAAAAATAAAAGTCGTTGATATCACAAGAATATAACATCCCAAATTAAGGAAAAATTCTTTAGCAATGCAAGCAATTAGTTTTTATTGACATATTAGGGAAAGCCCATTCAAGCTTTTTTTTATTTTATTTTAAAGGAGTCCACTCTATCAGGGAAAGCCCATTCTTTATTTTGTTCTGAAGGGGTACCCTTTCCTCATTTAAGTCTTAGACTCGCTCTAAGATAGAATGTGGGCTTGTTGCTTGTAATGTTTCTGTTTCTATTTTCTTTCGTTTGGTCGTGCCCTAACGTTACATTAGGTCCATATGTTTTAAAAATTATGTAAATTATGAAAAATATGTGTTTCAAATATTAGATTAATAAACATTGGTAGTGTACCAATAAATTTAAAATAAACTTAAATATTATTTTTAAGATATTTATTATTAAAATTAACAAATTTACTATATAATTATTGTAATTGGATTATATGCATGTCTTCTTTTTTTTTTTTCTTAAAAAATTTGGTTTTATATCGTAATATGTTTAGTATGTTATTTATTTATGTATATTATCATAAATTTACGAAAATATAGAAAAATGTAATCATAGCCATAGAAAAACACGACGATAATAAACTTAACTTATTATAATTAAATGTAATAAAACTTTATATTAAAATGACAACGTTACTTATGATAATATATGAAATAAAATTTCAAAAAGTATATTATAAAAAATATTTAGATTAAGAGCATAAGAAATATATTCTTAAAAACATGTATATTATATATATATATATATATATATATATATATAAAAAAAAGATCTGTTTACTCTAGGAGTAAGTTTAATTAGACTTATTTCGCTCAATAACTCATATTTTACATCAAATTTCAACGATGGTTGAATTTAAAGTTCTTAATGCAAAGATCAAGTCATTAAATTTTTAGAAAATTTGAAAATCGTTTGATACTTTATTTCATTAATTCAAATTGACAGATAATCAAAAAATTATTTTATACATTTATTTGAATTAATAAAATAAAATATCAAATGGTATTTAAATTTTTTTAAAATTTGCAGATTTGATCTATGTGTTAAGAACTTTAAATTCAATGGTTGGATTGTTAAAATTTAATTTAGAACATGAGTTATTGAACGAAGTAAGTCTAGGTAGACTTACTCATAGAGTAGACTTACTCATAGAGTAAACGGATATATCTCTCTGTGTGTGTGTGTGCGTGCGTGCATGCGTGCGTGCGTGCGTGTGTGTGTGTGAGGAGGGTTATAATAACACCGATTTAACTTTTACTAAATATTACACCATTTAATAACTTTATATTAAATATAAATTTTATAAGTCCAACCGTTAGATTAAAGATTTATATCACTTTAAATTTTGTTAAAATTGAACAACAACTTGAAGGTAATCAAAGTGTCTGTATTTTAGTATATTTTGAAATGTATATATTACGTCAATTTTGTTTTATAAGAATGAAGTATCAAATCATTTTGAATTAATATAAAATTTTGTATATATATCTAAAAGTAAATAACCTTCAATCTAACGGTTGGATTTACAAAATTCACATTTAATATAAAATTATTGAACAGTATAATACTTAGTAAAAGTTATATCAGTGTTATTATACTCATTATCTATATATATATATATATATATATAATTTAGGTTAGAATTTTGTCGCTGTTATGATTTTTATAAATAAAAAAACTGTTACAAGAATAATGTTTTTGTTAAACCTAACTTTCATGATTAATTTCACACGTCAAAGGGATATTAAAAGTTTTTAAATTTTAAAGTAGGACCGAAAACACTTATAAATAACTAAACAGGATTTTCAAACGTGTTTGAACGGTTGAAAGCTGAAAATGGGTTATACTTGTACAAGTTGGCGGTGGGGTTAGTTGTGTCGGTGCTCAAACTTGTAATCTTTGGTGTAATTATTGGACATCCTTTCTGGTTCGCAGTGATTGGTTCATTTCACAATGATATGGCTACACCACAACATCCCAGCTGTATCACCAACTCAAACACCATGGCCACTAATTGAGAGATACGTATACCAACCACGGAAGCAATTATTATATATTAAGCCCTTTAACGTGTCTTCACAAATTATCCAATTGAGTTTTGATGATTGGGGAATAAAACATCACTTATTAGTTACTTATGTATTAATTGTATTTTTTTTAATTATTTTTAATTAAAACGTGTCAACTGTGATGATAAATTATCAAGCAATCAAGTCCTTTTAATAATGTAACGAGGCTAAATTATGTACGTAAAAACATTATATTAATGGTTAAAATTAAAGTATTTTCACCTTTGATTATTATGGTTAAAATATAAAGAAATAATTTTGTATTGTTAGGTCTAATAGAAGTGAATACTCCTCGTGTCAAAAATCAAGAATTGAATATACGTTAATATTTAATATTCAATCATGCTTTAATAGAAATATCTAAAAATGAAGATGGAAAAAAAACTATATGTATGAAGAGCTATGCACTTATATTTTTAAATTTAATTATACAGTAATTTATGTGATAATATTATTGTAAGAATTATTTAGGAAAAAGGAAAATAATATAATTTACAAAGTTTCTCTCAAAATTAATCATAGAATATATAAAATCTTTTTTTTAATTTGCTCACAAATTTACAAACCAAATCATAAATCTTGTTTCCTTAATAAGTGTAAAGTGAAATTCATTATACTAAAAGGTTAATATTTCAAAGCAACAAGATAACAAACTGATAAAAAAATAAGTAAAACAAAGTAAAATACACTAAATGATTATATATCGTACAAGTCTATACACGACCAACTCAACATATAAGTCCCATCATCTTGACATTTATGTCCCACCATATATTTGTTCATTATGAATATTAGATTTCATCTTAAAACTAATTGATATTAGGTGAAATTGTCTAACAAATATATAAGTTGTACCTACATAATTAAGGTTGACAATGTGTGACTTCTTAACACCCCTCCTCTACATATGCTTGCCAAATCATGTGATGCTTATTAGAATAGACAAGCTACAAGGATGAGTTATAGGTTTTGATACCATGTTAAATTTAATCTTAGAGTCAATTAAAATCAAAAGAAATTGTCCAACAAATATATAAGTTGTACCTAAAAAATTGAGACAAACGATATGAGACTTTCCAACAATAAAAACATGCACTAGGTAAATATGGTAACGATGGTTAAAGAAGATGATTACCAACTTGATAATCAAACTCGTGCATATAAGAACATCATAAAAGGATAAGTTCCTAAGTAAGCATCTAGATATTACATTTTTTACATGCCAAACAAGAGCTCACTTGTACGTCAAAATCTTGTTGCAAGTGCTTTCATCACACATGAGAAAGATTGATTTGTTGAACAACAACCCAAAGGATAGGAGATATTTTACAAGGAGATAAGAGAACTTGGTAAGAACATATTACAGATAAAATGATGATTAAAATCAAATAAGTATTATAGTGACCATGAGCACCATCTCAAAAAATAGGATAACTTATTATTCTTGAAATAAGAATAGTTCAAATAACTATTATTATCAAATTTCATGCCTCCTAATTAGTTACAATAAAACAACAATGGATAATGTTAGTATTTTTCAGCATTTGTATTTTTAATTTATTAATTATTTTTTACATGATTTATATGATATTTAAAATTTAAATGTTATGTTTGAGTATAAAAATAGACAAATACTATGTATTTACAATAAACACCTTTTTTTTTTCTTTTCTACGTCTTTATTATTTTTCTTAATTTAAATAACTTAAAATTTTATTTACCTTTTTATTGATTTTATTTTATCTTTTTCTTATTTGTACATTTTTTTTTTCTTTTTAAAATCTTTCGTAATCCAAATAAAACATAAAAGTTAACCCAATATTACAGCTTAATTAAAAGTAATGACGTCACTATATCAATCATGTAAACCACTTGAAGAGTACATAATTATAGAAAAGATACTTTTTATTTACACTTTTTTAATTGAAACAATAAAAAAAAAAAACAACAACAATCAATGTTACTCAATTAAAGCCACAAACCAAAGCACATTTATCTTTGTAACGTTTCATAAATTGTGTCAGGTTTAATTCTTATAAATAAAGACATACATTATGTCTGGTGAAGGAGATTTGAATTAGAAAAAAAAATCGAAAATGAAAAAGATGTTTTTGTTGCTCATTTAATTTAAGACAGAACTAGAATCAGTACATTTCACAATTAGTATCTTAGGTTCATCCACTTTATAACGTTTCAAAAGTTACAACATCTATATATTATTCATAAAAATAATATATTTTAATAAATTAAAAATAATAGTTATATTATTTGATTAAACATACAATGAAATGAGATACAAGAATAATATTATGAAATATTATATAAACATACTTTTTAAGATTATAATTATGTGTTCAAAATGTCATCTCTTTTCTATCTATCTCTCTAATCAAATAAATAAAAAAAATATTTTCCTTTTTCTTCACTTTCATTTATATTTCTCTCCCATCAAATAATCTAAAAAAATAAATCATTATTTTCTTATTTCAAAAATCATATAATATAAAATAAATAAAGATTACTATCGGAAAAAATAAAATATTAAATAATTAAAGAGTATATAAATAAACAACAATTATTATCTTATAAAATGATTTTGTAGGTCAAATTAGATTCAAATTCATTATTTTAAAAACTATAGAAATGGATTTTCATATACAATACGCTTATTACACTATAATAACCTAAAAATTAATCCATTATTTTATTATTTCTTCTCAATCCAAATTGTTTCTCTACATTTTTTTCTATCCTTTTTTTCTTAAATCATATAAAGCAATCGGTAAAGTAAGAAAGTACCGGTGCATTGCCACTGTTTTAAAGTGAATCAGGTTTAAAATATACTACAAATTAATATCGTTGATATATTTTCTAAATTTAAGACATAATTTTTACCTATTTACCTAATTTGGGCATTCTTAATGAATGATTTGAATTTTTAAAAGCTTAATCAAACGTGAAAGTCAATTTAAAGATTTACTGATTTACATTGTAATAAGATTTTTAAAATAGATTAAAAATGTATTTTAAATAAGTTAATGTACAAAACTTATATGCAAGTTAACAAATTTAAACCTTAAAATAAGTGTATAATCTCCAAAAATTGCAACAATACATTGTTACAATTTACTTAAATAAATAAAGTTATCAAGATAAACTTTTTATAGTAATTTAAAATTTTATTTTTAATTAAATAAATATTTAAAAATTAACCAAACTTATTTAGTGAATAAATTAGATCTGTCGTAACCTAAATCTGATATACTGTATAAGTTGTGGTATCAAGCAACGATTTGATATTATATATATATATTATGTCCTAGACGTTGGAGGAATAATGATCCATTTGTGTTTTTGTTAATTTGCACCCTAATCAACGCTGTAATATATCACATGCGGCTAATAGGCCCAGTCCAGAGTGTGCGAATCGTAACGCAACAAGAAAAATCTTGTTTGGTTCCGGAGTACGTGGGCCCCCAAAGGCGAAGGTTCTGCTTCTGAACCCAAATACGTTGATCCAACGGCTAGTGGTGGCCCACTTCCCAAATTAATCGACGCCACCACCTTTCTGACACAGCGAACCGGAGGGGTCCTCAATTTATAAATCTTCTGCCACACTTCGTCTCACAAACACACACAAATGGATCGTAGAAGCCTACTCTCCCTTGCTCTCATCAGCATTGTCGTCGCCGCCGCCGGAGCCCAGTCTCCATCGGCGGCGCCCACCACCTCCCCAGCCACATCCCCTTCCCAACCTAAGTCACCTGCGCCTGTTGCTTCTCCCACGTCGTCTCCACCGGCTTCATCCCCCAATGCTGCAACCGCAACCCCCGCCTCGTCTCCCACGGCTGCGCCTCCGTCTAAAGCTGCCGCTCCAGCTCCAGCTCCAGCCACCACTCCTCCTGCTGTGACCCCCGTGAGCTCGCCGCCAGCGCCGGTTCCGGTGAGTTCTCCACCTGCGGCTGTTCCGGTGAGCTCACCCCCAGCGAGCTCTCCCCCTACACCCGCACCGACAACTCCTGCACCCGTGGTGGCACCGAGTGCTGAAGTTCCCGCTCCTGCTCCTAAGTCAAAGAAGAAGACTAAGAGAAGTAAGAAACACACTGCACCCGCACCCTCGCCGTCATTGCTCGGCCCACCCGCTCCTCCCGTCGGAGCTCCGGGATCCAGCCTGGATGCTTCCTCTCCTGCTCCAGCTACCGCTGAGGATGAGGTAATAACTCAAATCAACTTATACACTCTAATTTTCAGAATAATTAAATAAGATTAATTTTTGACATGTTATATACGAAAGTTTTTCAAAATTAACAAAACTGTCCTCAATCTTCTTAACTAAGATCTCAAATTTTCGAATTTCAATCCTATAGAAAAATTTCACTAATGATGACTGGACAGAAATTAGTTAGATATTTTGCAACTATCTTATTTTCTTTTGTGATTAACTTTTAATGTGTGTGCAATTACTATTAGCATTAGATCTGGAAACTACAAATGTAGTCTCAGATCTAGGAGTGACATGAGACATTGATATGCTTAGTTTAGTTGGCTTTAACTTGAAGTTAGGCTTTTTAGTTAATGTTCTTGTGCTGCGACGCGTTACTGTTGAGGTGGGTTTGGTTAGTTCCTTATTTTATTGGAGGAAAAAAGGAATAATTATGAATCCTTCTTTGAGAATCCGAGTGAATTTAGTAGTTCAACAAGATGTAGCACAAGTCATGAAATAATTGTGGTCCAAGTGGAGAGAGTTTGAGTGAACATGACAGCATTGTATCATGCTTTGGTCGTGGTATTTATTGATTATGTCCGTGTGTCACAAAGCAAGTTACTACTAGGATATGTAAAATAAAATGTTAATGGGGTGAATATTGGGATCTGAAATATCTGTTGTTTTGTATTTTGCAGAGTGGAGCAGAAAGCATGAGGTGCTTGAAGAAGGTCATAGGGTGCTTAGCTTTGAGCTGGGCTACACTTGTTTTCATCTTCTAGACAAGAGTCCGAGGCTGAGGATTCATTGCTGTTGTTATATATTATTATTATTGTATCATTATTTTCTTTTTTGCGCCCTGCCCGGGGCTAATATTAAATTTATTTACCATTGTTTTCTTCAATCTCTTGTTAACTTAAAATTGATGACGTTGTTGAGACATTATTAGTACTATTATTTTGTACACTTGCCCTCTTGTCTCGTGTGTGTTGTGTTTTACCTTGGGATTGCTTGAACCGGTAGGCACCGACACAACGATGCCTTTCTATTTTCATTTCTATTCTGGTTGTGTTTGCGGTAAACTTTCTATTCTAGTTTCTAGGTGTAACGACTTCCATTAAGCTGTAGCATACAGTCATACTCGCGTGTACAATTACGATTATTTCGTTAATTGATTTATATTGATAAAATCTTATATAATTTCTAATGACCGTTTTTAATAAAAACAAAACAAAATACTTAAAATATTTTTAATTCTTAACATGTAACGAGAATTTCAACTCCAGTTGGTAATAATTAGAATATGCGTTTTACGACAAACACTTGTAGCATATGCAACATAATATTTTGATAACTATTACTTTTATGAATTTAATTAGAATGTGTTTTGAAGTTGTTTAGTTTCACGTCCATTGCCTCATCTAAGAATGCAATGCAGAAATAATTAACATTCTCAGAGCAAGCTACCCATTAATATTTTATTTAAGACCAGTAACACAACACTTTTTTTATAGTATAAAATTTATATTATAAGAAGACAAGCTCCTTGTAGGGTATGGTAATGGAACCCAAATCAGGCCGTAATTCAACACTTTAAAGAACTAGTTTATTTTATATGAATATATTATTGGATTAACCTAAAGTATCGCTAACAACTTGAAGAATCTTTTTAGTTTATATTTGTTGAAATCAAGTGCCGGCTTTTTCACTTGCCCCACGACTAACTTTATTCCATAATTTGTTTTTGTTTTTGTTTTTGGTTTCTCCAATTAGACGGTAGACCTAACTTTTTCATATAATTATGCGTCGTTTTTATTGCATGCAATTAGGTTCAACCAATTTACAGGCGCCAGCTTGCGCATTCAGTAATTTTAAGGTCCTAATGTTCTCTTCGTTCTCGTTTATTTTTTTTTCGAACCACAATATTCCTTAATGGATAGTTTTAGATTAATTTTTTCTGAATTTGTTTTTAATGAAGTTTTCTTAATACAAACGTAGAACAGAAAATCTCATAGACCCAACTCAACAAAATTTTAGCACACATTGATATCCCCTCGGCTCATGTGTGTCGGTGACAATTGACAAAACCTTTGTTTTGCAACACTTGTTGCCTGCCACAGAAAATTCAGCAATATTGGCTATTAATAGAAGTCCCTTTTGATAGAGGTCGTCATTATACTTGCACGTGTTAGATCGCGTGACATATATAGGCATGGATTACAAGAATTAAAACCATGGTCACCTTTCACTATCAGAAAATTTTCTCGTGTTATATGGAAAATTTCTGTTTTTTTCTTTACCTGCACTGCACCAATATGATTCTGTTTTGAGGCTGGCTATTGGCCACAAATTTAGTTGCTGTGGGGTAATGTCTTTTTCAGTTAAGGACAAGTCTATAAGAGTGCTGTAGTTGGTTTTTCTTTTAGTACAAATATATCGAAACACATTTTCCCCCCCTTTTTCCTATGTTTCCTTCGCTAGGACGAAAGTTCAATGCCAAAATCGCACTCAACGAATTTACTTTTCAGCCACCAAGGGCAACCGGTAAAATAGGCGCTTACAAATAATTCAAGCAAAATAAAACGATATATGAGCGTTCATATAGCTTGGTAATGATGTGATGATAAAGAATTATTGGGGGTTCCATAAGGATTATTTGTTCGACGATGACCATATACCCGAGTAAAAGGAAAGTGGATGTACACTCATTGTTGATTGATATATAATTTTTTAGTTAATAATGTACGTTAACTGGTTGACAATTAAATAATGCAAATTGTGAAGAAAAATATTATAGTTCGTTAACCAATATAAAATTGTGTAAATGAGCTCGTGAACAAGTAACATCCAAGTCTATCAAATAAATAAGATAGGCCAAGTACTGCTTCGTTGTGGTCAGATATGAAAAATATTCCTTAAATTGATGGTCTCAGATCTAACCAGACAAATCGCACCCAAAAGGTTTATAAGTTATTATCCAATATTAAAATATGTATTTTTCATTGTTAAACTAAAGTGTTATTAAAACGAGAAATTATTAAATTTTAAGTTATTTGATTGAAACTGAACCACAATTGTAGAGAGAAAAACTTCTATTAACATAATAGAGTACAAATGATTCTCAGGATTTCTGAGAGGTTGGAACAGTCCCAAACAATCTAAATACCTTCTAAAATCACAAGACATTCTTCCTCTGAAATCATCTATTTTATTTATTTACCGGCAACATATCTTATTTCTCTATATCTCAATCCAACTATCTCTATTTATTCTCCTATCTAACTATGTAACTGTGGGAGTTTCCCTTTCAATACTCCCATAAAAAAGTTTCATCTTATTCAAAATAAGTGCAATTAAAGTCCACTTCAATGTTTTGATTATTTGAATTTAGAAGCATGATCAACAAGCAAGCTATATATCAATAAGAAACTAATAACTTTTAAAATAAAATCATTGAAATGAGTTTTATCTTTTTTAATAAAATCTTTTTCGTATATTCAATTAGGAAATTAAATTTATATTGACGCACTTAAAAAATTAACTATCTATCGATAATATTAAACCTTGTTGATGAGAAATCATAGATGGTAATATGATAACTTTTCCATTGATACTCAATATACCTATTTGATTGAGTTTGGTTCATTAAATTCATTATTTTATTTTCTTCTCCTTCATTTATTACTTTTCTTTTCTCATCCTCCTCCTTGTAAAGAATTAGTCTAAAGATTGAAAAATAGATGTGAGTACAACATGTAACAATCAAACCTTCACGTTTGACATGACCCATTCAACACTATAAAAGAATTATGTGTTAAACAAGTCAATTTAATCTAATCTATCATTAACTTATTGAAAAATAGGTTGGTTTGGGTCAAAGTCATTTTATCATAGTTGAAAATTCCGATCCAACCCATGATGGGTTGCAGAAGGTTGACCTATTAACTCATTAAAAAAATTATAAACCATTTTCATTCTATTTGTCTTAATTTTTTTTCAAAATTTGATTAAATAATTATAAATAAAAATATTATAAAACCAGTAATGATTCAAATGTTCAATAGGATGCATACTTAATAAGTCTATCACCAACAATAAAATAAGTTCATTAGTAATATTAAAATAAGTTCACAATACAATCCCAATTTTTTTACAAATAAATTCATTAATGATAATAAAATAATTTTACAATACAATCAGCAATAAGTCCATAAACAATAAAATAAGTTTACAATGCAATTAAAAATAAGATTTTTTTTAACCATTATATTAATATGAAATATCTTCTATCGTCAACGATGATTAATTTCTCAAAGACAATAAATATACACAATATAAATGCTCTTTTCCTAACACAATCTATTACAAATAACTCTTAATAAATAAATAAATTACAAATAAAATACCATAAGTTAGATAAAATTCAATTGAAAAAATAAGTCAATGTTGAGTAAACGGTTAAAATATTGTAAAGTGTAACCCAACAGGTTTGAATTTGGTGACGACGGTGGCGACCTCTTGACTCGACAATATGAGATACCAAGTTTTGTGGCCTTAGTGAGTCAGTGCCGTTGTGGTGGGTTGATGGAACTATCAACTATCCAAACCCAAAACCTTCATTGTTGCCATCGGTTTTAGTCCTTCGCTGTCCCTTCATGTCAAACATAGGGCTTCCCTCAAATTTTGCCTCCACTTTGCAATCCAAAAATAAACCCATTTTTGTGTCATCTCAGCCAATGATTACAGATCACAAAAACTTAGTTTATTACTTTTTTCATAATGTTGTTAGGTTTCTTTTGTTGGTTTCTCCCAATTTTTGTAGTTTTCATATGTGTGTTTTTACTATTGAGTTGTTCGTTATGTTTTCTCAAAGTCTTCATCTTTTATTTTTCTTTTGCCACCTTTTGGCATGGGTTTCTTCTTTTTGATATACCATTATCATTAGGATTATTTTTTACCTCTACTTGCTTACATTGAATGAGACTTTTATGAACCACTTGTGCCCTTGGCTCATCCATCACTCTTGACTCTTCTTTGTTGCCATGGTTCTTGCTCCCAAGAGCTTCTTTACCTTTGTTTTCTTGTTCTTTGAGTTCTGAATCTAGAATATAAACCCCAAGGTCTGGTTGGTTTAAACACAACCTTCTCAAAAGTAAGAAATATGACATTTCAATCTTCTTGCAAGAAAACCACCAATGGAGAGACTCGCTCTTAATGTCATTCAGACACCAGATAGTTTCTCAGTTTCTCTTGCGCACGAACTCTACGGCCCTTAAATTACTAATCTAAGTTAATTAGCTATCACTAGACGTTTGTCCCATCAAATCTTGAAATCGTCCCTCCATCAATTTTTTTTCATAATCTCAAGATTAGAGCTCGATACCGGTTGATAAAAGCTAGACTTGAATTATAAGGAGAGAGACCTCTCAGGACTTTTTGAGAGGACTGAACTCTCCCACAACAAACAAATTCCCTCCCAGCCTATTTTCTTATTTGTAGGCAACATGTCTTGTTTTTTTAAGTACAAAATTTAGATAAAATTGTTGAAGTGTTGTTTGTGTTATAATCTAATTAGAAGTATAGTTTTATCCTGATAATTTGTGTAATCTTTTAACATGTGTTTATAATGCAAATAATGTGAAACTTCAATTTTGAGTAGAGAAAGATATAAACACCGCCTAAATTTGAATCGTTTTATTCTTTCTCTAATTATCTTCAACCCACAACAAACTATAATTATTCTCCTAACCAACCGTGTAACTATCGGGGTTACCTATCATTGTCAGTATCTTCAACCATAACGTCATCAACTAAATTTATTATTATTAATTACTAGTGATAAGTAAATAGACTGCGATACAAAAATGAAGATGGTGAATTTCTATGAACCACATAATAACACTCCCAAGTTTGAAAAACATGAACAGAAAAATAAAAATATAATCAAGTGAAAATCAATAGCTAAATAAAAATATAAACATCACCCTATACGAAATTTTAGTTCAACCTAAAGCTACCACTCTTTGATTCACTGCTATATTGCAATAATCACAAAAACAATTGCGTTTGCAGATGATACAACTTCCAAAGAATTCTTTATGCACATCTTATCAGGGTTTCATTATATCATGATAGACAGGTCGATTCCTTAGAAACCAAAATCTTGATCGGTTGAATGACTATGATTGTGTAAATTGATCATGCATTGACTGACTCGAATATTCCAGCCACACTAATCAGGGAAACTATTAAGCACTAGTAGTACATACGAAGCTCATAACGGCTGAAGTTCCTGCTCTTCAACAACTACATCAACTGGCTTGTATGAGTGCTCAGCTTGCTGTCTGTTTTTCCAAATTAAGAATATTCCCAAGGCTGATATTCCTAGAAGGAATGTAAGCAAAAAAGCTAAAGCCACAACCAAATAATATCGCTGCCACCAAGTCCTGCATCATATTCATTTCAGAAAATTGTGTTTAGTGGTTAAACTAGGGATGTGATCGGGATGGGACGAATTTTGACTATTTCTGCCCAATCCAATTAAACTTCATCATGTTGGGTTTGTGACCTATTTTTAAAGTAACCTGACTACAAATGGGTCTATCATCGGATTGAGCAATTAAAAAATGTTTTAAAAAATTGAAACAAATAAGAAGAAAAAAAAAACTTAATTCAAATTTTAATACATTATTCAAAGTACAAATAACATCACAACAATTATACATGAAAAATCACAAATATCCAAAACAAGCAAACATTATGTCACTAAAATAATTTTGAATTACATAACAAGTGGAATTAATTTATTCTTCTGACACGATGCATTTTTCAATTTAGCCAATTAACTCATTCCTACAATATTTGGTGAAAAAAAGTAGAATCAAATATTTGTAGACTGTATTATGCACTATGTTGTGCATAGTATTTTTTAAGTTTAAATTTATTTAATAATTTATTATAGGTTAAGTTGATTCAAGTTTTTTGGATAACAAATCCTTTGACTTGTTACCCAATCCAGTTATAATCGGGTAATATAAAAACTAACCCAACCCAACCCACAAAAATGTAATTTAGTTGGTTTGGCACATCGGGTAGGTATATTTCACAGGTCCACTTACGCCCCTAGGTTATACTACTCTCTGAGTAAGGCACAAAATATGTCACAGGCTACTATGCAGTAAAGTGAAGAGCACAAGGACTCAATAAATATAGCGCACTAACCCACACGGAGAATAATATGTGAGAACATGAGAAATGAAAATAGCTAATCTTGACCAATTTTTGAATCATGAGTCATAAATCATATCAAATTGTACGATTGAGAGAGAATGAAAAAAAACTTTTTTCATTACCTTTTTAATAATTTAAAGCTTATACGAATTTTCAATATCTTTCATGAGAATTGGTGAAAGATAAGTAAAAAAGACTAAAAAAAAAATAACAAATTGTTGAATCATGTGATTGCACCAATTCATTTATGCATCATAACATTCAAAGTCATTTAAAATTCATTTTATAATATGAACCGATAGCTAATCAAATTATTTTGAATCGTATGATTCAAATTGTGAATCATAAAATTATAATAACTATACAATTATATATTGACGATCAATATTAGTTTTATTAAAATTTAATCTTAACCATCTATATAGTGTTTTGTCAAGCAAGATTACTTCTCATTTCTCTCATTCTCACCTAATATGCTTTACAAATGCCCACACATAAAACAGTTATATAATTACATGAATATTGGTATGTACAATATGAAAAGGCACGTATGTGTTTTTACAAAATATCAGATGCGGAAAGGAACAAAAATAATCTCAAGCATGGGTTTTAATAAGAACCTCTGTGTTGTATGCAATATAAATGATAGAACAGAAAGTTATGCAACCACAAATAAATGATGACAGGAAAGATAATTTTCTGACTTCTTTTCCTTTAAGGAAAAAATTACCGTTTCACTGGAGGCTCAGCATTCCAATCAAGTAACTTATAACTTCCAAATATGTCAGGAAGTTGCATACGATGTTCAGAAAGCCGAGCAATCATACTCTGTTACATAAAAAATCACCATCAAATGGGCAGTCTTCACAAAAATGAAAATGCATAAATGTCAACTTACCATTGCTGTGGCATTAGAAAAGAAATCAGCATATGGCCTCGGGGTTATGACCCATTTAGAGAGGGAACCATTTCCATGAGAAGAAAAATTCATTAAGTGAACCTGTGACCATTCAAACCAAGAATGTTATTATCATAAAGTAATACACATCAACAGGGAAAAATTAACCAAAAATGTACAATGTTTTCTAGGTATTTAGGAAAGTTGTTAGACTAAAACTCTAAAAGTCGGAAATCTAGGACCTCTACCTAAATCCCAAGCCACACCATCCAAATGAGATTGCCAAGGTTGTTATGAATATTGTTAATTAAACCCTTATATTGCATCAAAATTATTAATAGAACAAGTATGCAACCAATTTTTCTGCACTTCAGAGGTCATTTTTCTAACCTGTGATGTATTAACATCTAACTCATGAGCAATGAGTCCAGTCAATTCTGTAATGTAAGGCTTCATATCCATGTAGCTGGTGTTAAATAAAATTACAATAATTATTTGAGCAATTTGGAGTTCACCTGCACATTTAAGTCAATGAAAGCATATTAGTCATCAATGATCATATAAATCAGAGAGATGGCAGTAATTTCTAAAAAATAAAATAAAATAAGAAAACACAATTTACTATTTTATTCAACATGTTAACATCTGATCCATGTTGGAACATGATATCTGTGCATATACCTTAAAATAAAAATAGAATACCAGCAGCTCATAATACCTTGCTGTAAATTATACTGTGATGGAGCTGGGGCAACAGAGGGCTCAAATGCTTTGGTTAAATTTGTTCCTTTTGATTTTGGAGGCAAGGGTGGTGGGGTATCTGAGACATGTAGTCTTTCCCATAACTCAGAACAATTAGTTTTCCAGAAACCAATTTTTGTATGCTCACGATCATATATTACAAGAGTGTTACGAACAACAATACCTACTCAAACGAAAATGGTACAGGAATCATCACTTAAGTATTGCACAAACCCATAATTGTAACAAAAATTGTAGAGGAACAATATTTCAAATGAGGGGAAGTATGAAAACGCATGAAGTTATCCTCACTAAATAAGTTACCTCCTAAAAGAGTAGTTGGATCATTGCCATTTGAAAAAACTCCTAGACAATATGCACCTCGCACTTTTGAATGCTTCATAAATACAGCCACATGAAAAATAGGGATAAGAAAATCAATCAACCCAGAAACACTACTAAAGATACTAATGATTTTATTACATAACTAACCTGAAACAAGTAATTTTCGGGAGACAGTGACAACTTGTGACCATTTTCAAATACCATGTCAACCACTGGAAAACTTTTAGAGAGTTGAGAGACATCACTGAAATACAAGTAAACTCAAAACTGTTAATTAAGCAGCAACAATGTGTGTTTACTGTTTACTCCTTAATAATGCCAGACTTACATTCCTGCACCAGAAAAACATATATCTTCATAACGTGGATCTGGACCATTTATTTGCTTCAAAAAGTGAGTTTCCTTCATAATCTGCAATCAGACAAATACATAATCTTAGTCATCAGTTATAAAGGATAAAATTTATATGGTATACAGAATACTTGATTTTATATGGCAAACAGGATAATTGATTTATGATATAAAATGATTAATAAACAAAACTATCAATGATGATGAGAGAACAAACAGGATTCTCCACAAATCCATAATGCATGGCAAATACCTTTGACTAATAAATTGAATTTTCTAATTCTATGAGGTGATTAGGGAGAACATCCCAAGGAAATGAACACTGAAATACAGCATCGTAAGTGATAATCTTAAAGCATTATCACTCAAGTGCTGTTTCAAAATTAATGGTTAACAATGACTCCTATTACTGTATCACATCTTGATTGGAAAACTCAATGAAACTTTGCAAAAGAATTAAAGAACCCCTCTCCCCCCCAAAAAAAATAAAATTGAAGCATTGTTAAACTTCAAATATTTACACATCATAAAATACCCAATAACCAGTATAGGATACGTATTCTGCCCATTCAAATATAGAAAATCTATGATGATTCAGGGCACCTTTAACAATGTTATCAAGAGAAATCTGTTCAGAAAGGTTTACTAGCATAAAATGTTAGCATCTCACTAACTAGGTGTAATGAACAAACTACCATCCAAAGATTTTTGTATTTAAACTGAAAATTTGAAGTTAACTTATCAAAGCAGAAAAAGAGAAATCTGTTCGTAAAGGTTAAACAGCATAAAGTTTTTAGCATCCCATTAACTAGATGCAATGAACAAACAACCTCCCAAAGGTTTTTAAATTTGTACTGAAAAAGTAAACTTAACTTATGAAAGCATCAAATTAACTTTGCCAAAGTGCATCGCATAAATCTCCATTAAATTAAATAATGATAATGATAATAATAATAATAAAGATAAATATTTCAAGGCAAGGGCAAGGCCAGGATCGTGATTATGAAAGGGATAATAATATGTCAGCAGCAATATTTATATAATGGAGATGATTCACCCACAATAACAAGAAGTGGTGGCTCCTCTATGTGCACTAGGAGGATTCAAGGCCTCATCCAAAATAATTAAAATAGAACAAATTTCTTAACAAAAATATATCTTCATGGCTCCTTTAACAATTTTATTCTATCTCCACAACTCATAACACAGGAGTGACAAGGCTCACCGATTGGAGAAGTCAAGGTTTTGAAAAAATAGGTTAGATTAAAAATTGTAATTCAAAAATCTGTCTTCAGCAATATTTATGAAAGAACTTACAGCATGTTTAAATGCACGAAATGCAGGATCTGGTAGGTACGCATAAGTTGTTCCACTATCCAAGACAGTTCCGTGTTTCCCATCAAAAACCTTTGGGTTTAAATGCAGTCGGTTCCCCGCAACATGTAACTCCTTCAAATTGATATTGTAATAAGGACTGTCGCCATCCCAAAACTAGAGTAAATGTGTGAGATTAATAAAATGCATCTGTTAAGAAAATGCATGACATCTCATATCTGTAAGAAAATAAATTTGACACACACCTCCGAACAGGATCTGAATGTGTAAAGACCATGTCAGCTGGGGTAGTTAACCCACCTAGAACCATAGCACCCCCACCAACACCCATTCCACCATAGCACAGTGAGAATGAATCACTTATCACCTTTTTCTCAACTAGTTGGTCCATAATACTTAGATCTCCACGGCCCAAACCCATGATGCCATCAGCACGCTGACTATAAAGATCACCAGTCTCATCATTTTCACAGCCAAAAATAGCACGTTGGGGGGAAAGCTCACTCTGGTTTCCAAAGGAAATGATATCCTCACCAAGGACCCCACTGCTAGTACTCATTTCAGCATACCGTCTCTCATACGTGCACTGCTTCCTATCATTGTCACAGTTGCATTGCCATGTGCATTTTACAGGTTGATACGTTTCCGAATCATCTGGCCGGAAGTTCGGATCCTGTTAAAAAAAATTGAGCACACAAATCCAATCTACTTCAGACAAATCAGACAAGACACACATATGTGTGTGTTTGCATAATCACGATTCATATCCACAATCCAATAGCAGCTTTTCCACACAAATTTAACAATCACTCAAAATGAACATTAATATATAAGCAAATTGCACTGACACTCCCGTGATGTCTTCAAAATTGACACATACTCACGTCGTTTCAACTTTAATCGGAATTCGTCAGTCTAATGTATTTCAAACAATTAAGAGGTTATTAGAATGAAAAGAAAAAAAAGGGACAATCATGTGAATTTGGAAGAAATCACAAGTGCTGCAAGTGTAGTTTGCTCATAATTTATTGATTAAGATGTGTACGGATAGTGATGGAAGCATTACCTGGTGTTTACCACAGTGTTTGCAAGTAGAGCAGGGAACATAAGTAACAGTGCTCCCCGTATCAACAATAAGCGCGAACCTCTGCGGAGGAGTACCGATCCAAAGCCGCGTGGTATAGTACCTACACCATCCAATTTCCCAAAATACACACACAATTATGTTGAAAAAAGGGAAGGTAAGGGAGTGAAACGGTGGAAATGGAAGAGACTAACCCGTTTCGAAGGAGATCGTCGTGGAGTCTCATGCGAGCGTTGTGATGGCTTTGGGATTTGGATCCGTGAAGTTGGCGACGGTGATTAAAGAGGGAAGGGGGAGAATCGGGAGAAGAGTGAAGTAGGGGGAGAATCATTGCAGGAGGAGAACCGCTGTGTTGACTCGGTAAGAGAAACACGTTGGTGGAGTCAGCAGAGACAAGCAGGCACCGCGCAAGGGATAGAATTAGGGACACGGCGGAGATGAGTTCAGCCCACGCCGCCGCCATGACTCCGAGTGCTACGGCGGTGGCGTAGATCGGAAGCAGAAGGAAATTGAAGAGGGAAGACCCGAAGGAGAAAGACGAGTCTCTGAGTCTCGATGGGAGAACGACGGAAGTCAAAAGACTCAAACCTCAAAATACCCTCTTGTGTGCCTAACCAACTATATCCATTTCCGCTTATTTATTTATTTAATTAATTAATTTATCGTTGCTTAACTATAAATTTTTTTTTATGGAGACCGTCATGCACTTTCGCAGAATTTTTTACCAAAATATTATTTTTTTTAAAAAAAATTACAAGATTAACAACTGTGCAGGTTTATTTACCACACTAGAACCATTTACTGCAGAATTCGGTTCCTGGGAACCGAATTTTGAGTTTCAAAGTATTATTTTTTTTTTCGTGTTTGCGGGAAATTTGGGTAGATTTTGAAAGTGGAACGGCCCGTTCCGAATGCAGAACGGCCGTTCTGCTTAATGCCACCGAGTCATTTTTTTGAAATTGAAACGGGCTCAGAACGGGCCGTTCCAGAATTAAGAATTACACCTTTTTTGAATGTGGAACGGCCTTGGAACGGCCCGTTCCAGGAGCTGTTTTAACGAAGGATACGTGGTTTTGGAACGGGCCGTTCTGGTTTTGGAACGGCCCGTTTTAAGAAAACAGTAAAAATGACATTAAATTAATATATATATATATTAATTTAATGTCTTTTTTACTGTTTTCTTAAAACGGGCCGTTCCAAAACCAGAACGGCCCGTTCCAAAACCACGTATCCTTCGTTAAAACAGCTCCTGGAACGGGCCGTTCTGGTTTTGGAACGGCCCGTTTTAAGAAAACAGTAAAAATGACATTAAATTTATATATATATATATCATTTAATAATTATATAATTTTTAATATATATATATATTAATTTAATGTCTTTTTTACTGTTTTCTTAAAACGGGCCGTTCCAAAACCAGAACGGCCCGTTCCAAAACCACGTATCCTTCGTTAAAACAGCTCCTGGAACGGGCCGTTCTGGTTTTGGAACGGCCCGTTTTAAGAAAACAGTAAAAATGACATTAAATTTATATATATATATATCATTTAATAATTATATAATTTTTAATATATATATATATTAATTTAATGTCTTTTTTACTGTTTTCTTAAAACGGGCCGTTCCAAAACCAGAACGGCCCGTTCCAAAACCACGTATCCTTCGTTAAAACAGCTCCTGGAACGGGCCGTTCTGGTTTTGGAACGGCCCGTTTTAAGAAAACAGTAAAAATGACATTAAATTTATATATATATATATATATATATATATATATATATATTAAAAATTATATAATTATTAAATGATATATATATATATATATATATATATATATAAATTTAATGTCATTTTTACTGTTTTCCCATAACGGGCCGTTCTATTCAAAAAAAGGTTTAATTCTTAATTCTGGAACGACTCGTTCTGTGCCCGTTTCAAGTTCGAAAAAATGACTCTGTAGCATTAAGCAGAACGGCCCGTTCTGCTTTCGGAACGGGTCGTTCCACTTTCAAAATCTGCCTAAATTTCCCTGCAAACACGAAAAAAATATATATATATATATAAAAATAACTCAGAATTCGGTTCTCCAGAAATCGAATTCTGAGTTGAAAAAACAAAAAAAATAATACTTTGAAGCTCAGAATTCGGTTCCCCGAAACCGAATTCTGAGCATGCACAGTAAATGGTTCTAGTGTGGTAAATAAACCTGCACAGTTGTTAATCTTGTAATTTTTTTAAAAAAAAAATAATATTTTGGTAAAAAATTCCACTTTCGCAAAGCTGAGAAAGGCGTGACTTTTTTTAATTATATACTTGTATAACAATTATATAAACTTAGTCTATATTTTATTTAATAAAATTATTTAAAAACTATACATATTTATTAGATTAATTAATATTATATTTAATTTTTAAATTAAATTTTAAATTTAAATTTTAAATTTAAATTTTATATTTTAAAAATAATTAATTTTTAATATTATTTAAAAAAATTAAAATAAAATCATTTAAAAATATGTATATCAAATCAAATTATTACATTTGATATAGATAAATATTATTATTTATGTTTATTTTTATTTATCACATAATTTATATTTGTTAATAATGGAAGATAGAAGGTGGAAAAAAATTATGAGAGATACGAGAATAATATGTTATACAAGTGTCACTTTCTTTATACAAATTGTTGTACTGGATCGTTATTTATTTTTTTAAATTGTCCTTTAAACACGTATAGTTAATTAGGCTTCGTTATTAACTTATTCTGCGAAAATAATGGGGCATATTTTAAAAAATTAATATTTTAATTTGCACAAATACATATGATGAATTTTTATTTTATACTGAATGTTATTTTATTAAAAATTATGATTAAAATTTATGAAATTATTTTTGTTTTATATAAAATATATTTTATTTTTATGATAAAATATTTTATATTGTGATATAAAATTATTTTTATTGATAAAAAAATAAACATTAAAACTTAATTTATAAATGACTTAAATAAGGTTTTTAGTGGATGTAACATACGGAAATTTTTATTTTAGTCATTTTCAAAAATTTTCAATAGTATCTCTATTAAAAAATTCATTAACATCCTTGTTGTGAGATTGAGTGTTAAATCTAACAAACAAAAAAAGACTAAAATTTAGAAAGACTAAAATAGAAAAATCAAAAAATTATAAAGACTAAAAATAGAATAATTAAAATTAAGAGGAATAAAGCAAAATTACTATAATTGAGAGAATTAAAATTAAACTAATCTTATTTTAAAGAGATTAAACTTTCACTAAAGATGAATTTATAAAATTTAAACTTTAATTTACATTTATAAAAATTTAACTTTTAGTGATCAACTAACCAAATTAAACCTTAAAAATAAAACTTTAAAAATTAATCCAGTATAGTTGTAATCATCTTTGTGACTTAGTTGCGGCAATATTTTTGACAATGGTGATTTGTTTGACTTTGTAGTTGATAGTCTTTTTTTAGATTGCTAGTTTGGTTGTTTCACCTATTGGTGTAAGGTTTTTTATTGTATGGTGATTGCAAATTGATTTTAGAAGGTATGTATTTATTATGTTGTTTTCATTAAACACCTTTTGATGTCATAAATTCATTACTTACTTTGGTTATGTTGTGTATATGGGTTGAAGTACTCCTTGTATCCCCTCTTATTTAATTCAATTTTGCTTAGGATAAAAAATTGTAATCATTTTTGAATTATAAATAAAATATAACAAATGTTGAGTAATAAAAATAAAACATAAAATATGACATAGATATTAAAAAAAGTAATAACACACTAGTATGAAATATAAAATAAAAAAAACTAATGTAATATATAACTGATATTAATGTGATATAAAAAGAATGTTAATATAATTTTATTCATCTTTCATTTATTTTTTATTTAATATTTATGTTCTATGATTCATTTTGTTGTCTTTACATTATTTTATGTTTAGCTTCTTTTCTTTCTTTCTTTTTTTATACTTATTTCCTATATTTATTTTGTGTACATATGCAAGAGTGATCATGTCATTGTATAACTCTTTTGTGCATTTGATTTTTATAAATTATTTTATTAATCATCAATACATTTGTTATAGTTATTATTTTTACTCTATATTAATATATTTATTATTTTTAAAGATTTAAATTTTATAAATTAAACTCAAATTAGTTCTTATAAAATAAAGTTATTTTTCATTTTAATCATTCTAATTTTAGTTATTTTATTTTAAAATTAAATTATATTGAAAATTCATCAAATGGGTGAATAATAACTCAACAATTTAATTAAAATATATCAACAAATATTCTTTAGGAGTGTTATTATACTATGAGTGTGTTTTAATATAAGTTTGAAGCGCTTTTGATAGTTTTTTTTATATTAAAAGATTTAGAGTTTTCAAAAGTGTTTTTAACTTTTAACTATTATCTAAACATGCTCTAATTGAATTAAATAATATACTTTATATTAATAAGTAAAAGTATTGTAATACTCATTTTATTCAGGACCTGTTTGGTTCAAAGGAAAAAAGGAGATAATAGAAGAGAAGAGGGGAGAAGACAAGAAGACAGGGATGGGTACTCAAATTTTACTCCTAGTAAATATCAAAGGTGAGGACGGAAACAATTTAAATTTGCGGGGGTAAGGGCGGAACATAATACCTACCCCTGTCCAGTTGCCATGACTAATTATATAGTATAAATAAATAAACACACACACAGACACACACACACACACACATATATATATATATATATATATATGGGAAATGCTAATATACTCCCACCTATTTTTTAATGAGAGTATGTTAGCAACCTACACCAAAATTTTAGGACAAGAAAACCACTTATTTATTTTGATTTGGTTATTTTGTATAAAGGATATTATAGTCATTTCTCACTCCTATTAAATTCGTTCTTCAACCCATTTCTCTTTCCTATTAAATATCTTTTCTAACTCATTTATCTCTCTCCTATTAAATTTCTTCTCTAACTCATTTATCTCTCTCCTATTTAATTCCTTCTTTAGCTCATTTCTCTCTCATCTCTCATGATGTCTTCCCCCTCTCTCTCTGAACAAATAAAAAATTAATTAATAAAAAAAATGAATTAGAGAATGAAATTAACAAGAGAGAGAAAATGTTTTATTTTCTTTTAAAATTAAATTAAATTACTATAATATCCTTTATACAAATTAACCAAATCAAAAGAAATGAATGATTTTCTTGTCCTAAAATTTTGGTGTAAGTTGCTAACATACTCTTACTAAAAAATAGGTGAGAGTATATTAGCATTCCCCTATATATATATATATATATATAAGAAAGGAGGAGAAGAGAATTCAATTAGTCCAATAGTAAGTTTAGGTAAATTTATTTTACTCAATACAATATTTTACATCAAATTTCAATGATCCAATTATTAAATTAAAAAAATTTAATGCATAAATCAAATTCACAAACTTTTAAAAATTTTAAAAACTATTTGAGACTTTATTTTATTATTTCAAATTGATAAATAATCATAAAAATATTATATATATTAATTTAAATACATACAATAAAGTATCATATAATTTATTAATTTATTAAAAATTTATAAATTTAATCTATATATTAAAAAAAATTAATTCAACAATTCGATCATTAAAATTTTATATAAAAAATAAGTTGGTAATTGAAATAAGCCTAAAAAAACAAATTCATTTCACTTGTTTAATTAAAAAAACATTTAATAAGAATATTTTTGTAAATAAAAAATTAATAATTGAGATATAAATAAATCGAGTCTTATAAAAAAGTTAAATTAATTTAAAAATTTAGGTAAAAAAAATAATATTATTTATTATATTTATTAAATATATCATATTTATTAAATATAATGAATGCAATGCGAACACATGTATATTAAATGTATAACTTTAAATGAACATATACGTATTAGAAAAATTATTAAATATAATATAAATATCACAAAATTTAATAGTTATATATATATATATATTAAATAATTTATTATTGTTTAAATTAATTTATAAAAAATAGGGTGATTGACCAACATAATAAAAACAAAATAAAAATAAAAAGAGAATTGTAATTCTAATAGTAAATTTTATTAATCTTATTTCACTTAATAACTCATGTTTTTTATAAAATTTTAACGATTTAACTGCTATATTAAAAGTTATTGATGCATATATCAAGTTTGCAAATTTTAGAAAAATTTGAAAATTATTTAATAATTCATTTCATTAATACAATTTGACATATAATCTAAAAATATTTTATATGTTAATTTAAATCTATGTAATGGAGTATCAAATAAGTCTTAAATTTTTTTAAAATTTTGTAAACTTTATCTATGCATCGTGAATTTTTTATTTAACAGTTGAATTAATAAAATTTAATGTAAAATACATGTTATTGAGTGAATAAAGTTTAACAAGATTTATTTTGAGTAAGTGGACATTTCTCTCGCTATATATATACACTGAATATATGTTTTGTTGACAATATTAACATTTTTATCTCATCTTACCACTTTTATAAGATAAAAAATAAAACAAAAGTAAAGTATTGCTGAAATATTATTAAATATTAATTATTATGTCAGATCATAACTAAAATTACAATTTGAATGATCAATGAAAAAATATTTAGTAGAGGAGCTAAAATTGCAGATTTTATAAAATTGGAAGACAAAAGTTATGAATTTTAAAATTAAGGGATCAAAATTATGGTTTGGATATTACAAGGGGATCAAAAGTGCAATTTATCATAAACAAATATTAAATGGTTTAAAATATAGCAAAAATTTATATTTAATTATCAATTTCTATATATAAAATACAAACAGATATCTTACATAAGAGTGTGTTTAGGGACTATTTTCTAACCACAAGATTTTAAAAAAATTAATTTCATATTTAATTTATCTTTTATTTATTATAAGTATTTATGAATTAAATTTAATATTTTAAAATAATTTATAAATTAATAAATGTAATCTTATACTACAATATAATTTATTTGTCATAAACTTAAATACAATTATATTTAAAAATATTTATTTATTTTAATTTTAAATATAATTTAGACTTAAACATGATTTTGGTCCCTATAAAATCAGCAAGTTTTGATTTTAGTTCATGTAGTTTTTTTTCTATATTTTTCATCCATATAAGATTAAAATTCTTGTTTTTAGTCTCTTTTTTTATGTAATTATTTTTTAATTACTTTTTTATTTATTAAAAAGTTAAGCGACCATCTTAAGTGTTACCTATAACCATTACTGATATTATATTTGATATTTAACACATATAAAAAAATTTATAAGTCTTTAAATGTTATTTATTCACCTTAAAATAATCATTAAAAACTAAAAATAATTATTTTAAATTTTAGAGGAATGAAAACTAAAGAAAAATATTTTACAAGAATCAAAAATTAAAATTTACTTATTTTACAAGGACCAAAACACAATGTTTATAAATTTTAGAAAGATGAAAAGTAAAGAAAATTTTTTAGAGGAACCAAAATCAAAACATCAACTTTGTAGGGATTAAAAATATATTTAAGCCTATAATTTATATATCAAATATAGTATTTATTTATATGTGTAATTTATTTAAAAGTTTAGTTATACATAATAAATATTTAAGATGTGTATTACATGTTAAAATATTAATTAACTTTTTATTTATAAACATGATTCACGCAGTGTTGTCAAAATATTAAATATTAATTATTATATCATTTATTTAATGTCATATCATAACTAAAATTACAATTTTAACGATTAACAAAAAATTATTTAGCAAATGAGCTAAAATTGTAGATTTTATAAATTTGGAAGACTAAAATTATGAAATTTAAATTTAAGGGGTCAAAATTATGGATCGAATATTATAAAAGGATTAAAAGTACAATTTATCCTAAAAAAAAATATAAAATGCTTTAAAATATAGCAATTTTTTTAATTTAATTATAAACTTCTATATATAAAATACAAACATATATCTTGCGTAAGAACATATTTAGAGACTATTTTCTAACCAAAAGATTTTTAGATTTTTTTTTTTTAATTTTGTATCTAATTCATCTTTTATTTATTATAATTGTTTATGAATTAAATTTATTATTTTAAAATAAATTATTAATAAATAAATGTAATCTTATACTACAATATAATTTATTTGTCATAAATTCAAATACAATTAGATATTTAAAAATATTTATTTATTTAAATTTTAAATATGATACATATATCAAACATAATATTTATTTATATAGATAATTTATTTTAAATTTTAATTATACATAATAAATATTTAACATGTATATTACATGTTAAAAAATTAATTAAATTTTTAATTTGTAAATATAATCTACACTGTTATATAAAATTGACAATTAAAAACTAATATATGTTGGTAGCAAATACAAATTTAATTTAAATTGAAACAGGTTGTTGATAAACTTGAAAAGAAAAAAGGTGTAAATAGACATTAAAAAGAAAAAAAATTGTAACAGCATGTATTCATTGTAATATTTAAATTCTTAAATCCTTAATAAATATCTTGTTGAAATGATAAATGTTTTAAATATTAAATAATAAATGCTTTAAAAGCTATTAAATACTTTTTTTATTATTTTTATTTAAAGTCACTTGCAATAAATTTCCTAAAGTTGTAAATGCATATCCTTAAGTCACGAGATTATTCGAATTATCTCAAATAAAAATTGGCTAGGCAATCCTTAATAATTAATTAGCATAATCATCAACCTTGTAGTCATCCAGACCAGTGAACCTAACAAGTGACAACCATGAACCACTTTCGTTTTTGTTCCCTAATACTTCATTGACAACAATTACAAGCTCTTAGTTAAAATTGTGCCCTTTGATAAGCCAAGTTCTCTATTACATCGCTCCTAGTCTCATTCCAAACAACGCTTGCTAACATGGAGACGTTTTTGAAACCTTTTTTGTCAACTCTTGCTGTGTTTCTGGTCCTCTGTAATGCATCTCTAGCAACCATAGAGAAGAAAACAGAGAACCAGAAGAGTACTTACATAGTTTATGCAGCAAAAACCGAGATGCCAACAAGCTTCAACCACCATTCAGTTTGGTACGATTCAGTTCTTAAATCAATATCCAACACAACAGAAATGCTCTACACCTACGACAACGCGATTCATGGGTTCTCAACAAGACTAACACCCGAAGAAGCTCGGTTACTAAGGAGTCAAACCGGGATTCTAAAGGTGGAACCGGAGAAAATATACAAGCCACTCACAACCCGAACACCACACTTCCTCGGGCTGGACAAAATCGACAACATGTTGGGTAAGTCAAACAGAGGAAGTGACGTCATTATCGGAGTCATCGACACGGGTGTTTGGCCCGAAAGTAAGAGCTTCGATGATACTGGGCTAGGACCGATCCCTAGTAGCTGGAAAGGAAAATGTGAATCAGGTTACAATTTCTCTACCTCCAATTGCAACAAGAAATTGATAGGAGCAAGGTGCTTCTCAAAAGGCTACATGGCTATGATGGGTCAGGGTCAACTCAATGAAGAAGACAAGCCGCGGTACGATTCGCCGCGAGACTATGACGGCCACGGGACTCACACTGCAAGCACAGCCGCAGGGTCTCCGGTGGAAGGCGCGAGCCTATTCGGCTTTGCTTCGGGCACGGCACGTGGGATGGCCCCACGTGCCAGAGTTGCTGTGTACAAGGTTTGTCCAGGAGATTCTTGTACTACTTCTGATATATTAGCGGCAATGGACGCGGCTATCTCGGACAACGTTAATGTCCTTTCATTATCGCTTGGATCTAATCCGCTCCCCTACGATCTAGATGGCATCGCAGTTGGAGCCTTCGCTGCAATGGAGAAAGGGATTGTGGTTTCCTGCTCCGCGGGAAACGACGGTCCTGCTTCTCATTCGCTTAACAACAATGTGGCGCCTTGGTTGCTCACCGTGGGGGCTGGCACACTGGATCGTGATTTCCCGGCGTATGTTAGCCTGGGGAATGGAAAAAACTATTCTGGAGTGTCACTTTATAGCGGCGATTCCTTGCCTGATACCCCAGTGCCGTTCGTATATGCAGGGAACACTAGCTCATTTCCACTTGCACAGGAGTGCTTGTTGGGAAGTTTGAAACGGAGAAGGGTTAAGGGGAAAATCGTCTTGTGTGAAAACGGAGAAAATTCCATTGTACAGAAAGGAATTTCGGTGAAATCCGTGGGTGGTGTGGGCGTGGTGTTGGCCAAAGCAGAGAAACTAGAATTGGCAAGGTCTAATTTTTTGCCCACAATTGTGCTGGATTCCAAAGCCGTGAAAGCCATCAAGGAGTATTTGTCGTCGGATCCAAAATCGACGGCTACGATTGTGTCTCAAGGAACAAAGGTTGGAATCAAGCCTTCTCCAGTTGTTGCGTGGTTTAGCTCGCGAGGCCCAAACACAATCACACCAGAGATACTGAAACCTGATTTAATCGCGCCAGGTGTCAACATTTTAGCGGCGTGGACAAAGATTAGGAGTCCCACAGGCATGACGCAAGATGATAGGCGCGTGGACTTCAACATCCTCTCAGGCACCTCCATGTCATGCCCTCACGTAAGTGGTGTAGCGGCTTTCATAAAATCGGTTCATCCAAATTGGAGCCCAGCCGCCATTCGATCTGCACTAATGACCACAGCGTATTCGACTTACGCCAACGGTGAGAAGCTAATTGATAGTGCCACAGACCGTCCGTCAACGCCGTTTGATATCGGTGCCGGACACGTGGACCCTGTTGCCGCGCTTAATCCAGGACTTGTCTATGATTTGGCACCACACGATTATCTCCACTTCCTTTGTGCATTAAACTACACACCGGATAGTATCGAGGCTGTGGCGAGGAGAAAGTTCAAGTGTGATGCGCACAAACACTACAGTGTGACGGACCTCAACTACCCTTCATTTGTTGCGCTGTTTAAACCACCGATAGGTAAGAACAATGCAACGGTTATTAAACACACGCGAACTCTTACTAATGTGGGGGCAGCAGGAACGTACAAGGCGTCAGTTATGTTGGATTTTCCTTCTCTCAAGATCAAAGTTGAACCAAAGGTGTTGAGATTCAAAGAAAATGAGAAAAAATCTTATGCAGTGACATTTACAGCATTAGGTCCACCATCGTTAACTCCTCCTAGATTTGGACGTTTAGAATGGTCAAATGGAAAGATCATTGTTGGAAGTCCTATCTCAGTTTTTTGGGACTCTACGCTTGTAAAGTCCAATAAGATTGAATAAAACATCTTCACTAACTCTTAAGACACATGCTTAATTGGCTAGTGATGGTGATGATTATTTATTATACAATAAATTTGAATGTGTCAATATCTTGCATTTATGTAATATATTTCCATCAATGACTTTGCATCCTCTACTCCCCAACCTTTTGTGTAAATTTATGCTTAGGAATTTGGATGGATCGAAGCTTCATGATAGAATTTGTCTTATTTATATTTTTATTCTATGTACTTTTTACTATGATTTTTTTCAAGAGATTTCAAACTTATATATATTTTCGTTACAACACCCAAAAAAAAACATATATATTTTCGATGCCATCAAACTGCCAGAGTTGGTGATCGTGGCAAAAACTAATTCAAGATTGCGGTTTGCGTTTAACACATTCAATTTTACGCTTTTTAGTATCTACAAAAGTTGACTTAATCTCGTAGATGAATCCTCCTTGTTGTAACAATGTGACGCGGATTATTCATCTTTGGGTGGCCTCTAATTATGGATTGTGAAATGATTTTGCATTTTCAATGGATTGAGGGATCGAAGCCACACCTTGCTAATCATCCAAAGTGGTGTAGTTTCACGCTAAGATGTTTCACAAAATAATAGACTAGTTGTATTTTAAGAGATAAAGATTAAATTACTTGTTGAATTGAAAAATGTATTTAGTATGTAAGAATATTCTTGTAAAGAAAAATAATATTAATTGAGACATAAGATGGATTAGGTCTTATAGGTCAATACAAGTCATATTCTATGAATGTAAATTAATGTATAAATCAGTTTTTAATTATCAGTTTTGAAATATTATGTGATCCATGAAAAAAAAAGTCAATTTGAAAAGTTGATTCAAATGATAGGATTAATTATTACATTTATTAAATATAACATATTTATTAAATGCAATATTAATGCATGCATATTAAACGTATAACTTTAAATGAATATATATGTATTACAAAAATTAGTAAATATAATATGTCGTTGTTTAAAATTCATTTAGAAAATATAAGTTAAACTATAAAATTCAAATGTTTGTTAATATATATATATATATATATATATATATATATATAAGTTTAA